TGACTTTATCGACCTCCTGTTTAGTATTTGGTAACACCCCGTGTTCTAAGAACGATATGATGTCTTGGGCCCAAGGGATAGGCTTGTTCTGGAGGAAGTGGACTTCTTGCGGATCTGGCGAAATGGCTAGAGTGATTAAGTGTTTGACTCGAACGTCGCGACTAAGATCCGACTGGTTGGCCGAAGCTAATTGAGCCATTTCATTGGCCTGAGAATTTTCTTCCTTGGGGATGTATTGGATCTGGAAACTGCTAAAAAGGCTAGTGAGGGGAAGAGTGATGTCCCTGTATGTACGCATTGTTTCGTCCTTTGCATTAAACTCCCTAGTTATCTATCTGACAACCAATTAAGAATCGTTGAATACTTGGATGTGGTCTACCCCAATGTCCTTGTCTAGTCGAAGACCCGCTATGAGGGCTTTATATTCAGCCTCGTTATTGCTTGCGTGAAATAGAAAATTGAGGGCATACTTGAAGGATTCATTTTTTGGGATGGTGAGTATTAAACCGGCTCCGCTACCATCTTTGCATAAGGAACCGTCAACGTTAAGGTTTCAAGAATGAGGTCGACTGTCGCATGAATGGCTTGTGGCTGTAGTGGGGGTATGTGCGGGGTAAGGTTGGTGAATTCCAGGATGAAGTCGGTGACGACTTGTCCTTTAATAGTTGTCCGAGGTCGGTAAGAGATCTCGTATTGACTCAATTCGACAGACCATTGCATGAGTCTGCCTGATGACTCTGGTTGTTGTATAATTCTCCTTAAATGGAAGATTAGTGAGGACCACAATTGAATATGCCTGGAAATATGGTCAGAGACGCCTGGAGGTACGTCTATTGTTCCCCTTCGGAGGATCGGTCCTGGCCCTCTGGTGAGGTTGGGGCGCGATGAACCGAGTTAAGCGTCCTGACGGACCAGGTCCTCGACCTGATCCTTAAGATTGACACATTCATCTGTGTTATGGCCATGGTCGCAGTAGAAGTAACAGTATTTGGACTGATCCCGTTGGTTGGAAGAAAACTTAAAAGGTTGGGGCCATTTCAAGTTATAATCTTGCTGGATTTGGTTTAGAACGTGCTCTATGGACGTGTTGAGAGGGGTATACCGCTCGAAACGGCCGGGCGGTCGGGGAGGAGCCGCTTGGTCGGAGCGGAGAGGTCGGTCAGGATGAGTATATTGGGGATGTCTTGGCTCCGACTTTTTTCTCTTGTCTTTGGGTTGTGAGAGTTTAGGTGTAGAGTCTTGGCGGGCTGCCAAAGAGTCTTCGACATTCATGTATTTCTGGGCTTTAGTAAGGAGGGTGGCCATGGTCGTTAGAGGATTTTTGGAGAGGGAAAAGAAGAAGTCCGACGGGCATAGACCGGTCATGAATGCTGTTAAGATGACCTTGTCATCATTCTCCTCAACCTGGAGAGCTTCTGTATTGAAGCGAGTGACAAAACTGCTCAACGATTCCTCTTCAGTCTGCTGAATATTCAACAGCTGGCTCGCCGGTTGTCGCTGACGCTAAGCGCCAATGAAATGGCTCAGGAAGGAGTCATTTAACTGCTAGAAAGTGGTGACAGAGTCCGGCAGTAAGTGACCGAACCATAGCCGCGCCAACCCCTTGAGGGTTATGGGGAAAGCACGACACATGATTTCGTCAAGGAAAGTATGTAGGATCATGAGGGTCCTGTAAGCTTCCAAATGGTCAACCGGATCGGTTGTGCCGTCGAAGGTGTCAATTGAAGGCATCTTGAACTTGGAGGGTAAGGGTTTGTCCCTGATGGATACGGCAAATGGGGAGTTGGTTGTTGTGAAAGGTTCGTTCTTCATGTTCTGCATGACCCCCTGAAGTTGGAGCTTCATAGCTCACAGTTCCGCGTCCCACATAGAAACATTGTCACCATCAGAGGGAAACGAGGTTTAACGCTGCTAGCCTCACTTTCGGGAATGAGAGTGTGACGTGATGGATACGAACCCTGAGGTGGGAGGTGCAAGTCCTGAGGCGGAGGAAGAGGCCCCCGAGGCGTTGGTTGTTGTGAAAGGTTCGTTCTTCATGTTCTGCATGACCCCCTGAAGTTAGAGCTTCATAGCTCACAGTTCCGCGTCCCAAATAGGAACATTGTCACCATCGGAGGGAAACGAGGTTTAACGCTGCTGGCCTCACTTTCGGGGATGAGAGTGTGACGTGATGGATGCGAACCTTGTGGTGGGGGGTGCAGGTCCTAAGGCGGGAGAAGAGGCCTCCGAGGAGCATGTGGTTGGAGTGGGTGGCTTGGGGCTTGTTCCCAGTTTGGAGGGGTGTCAAGTGGTGGAGGAGGAGTAACAAGGAGATCTCGTTAGAGCAAGGCATTGATCAAGGTTTGGTTTTGCTCGGCCAAGGGTTAATACTGTTAGTAAGTTCTGCGAAATACAGAAGAGGATTATTTGGATTGGAGGGCTCAGCTTCAGGGTTACCAGCATTGTGTTGGAAAGACATGGATCTAGTCGTGACCATCTACCCTGACGTAGGAGGTGGGTGATAACGGGGTTCCTTCCGGCGACAATGAACACAATTGTCTTTCAGAAATGGAATTCTCACAGACGGCGCCAACTGATAATACAACAGTTCCAATGGAGGATGGGTCGGGCTAATCCACACTTTTAACGGGTTTGTTGGCCTTCAAGTCTACGGAGTGTGCTTGCAAAAAAGTTCAAAGGATGAGGTAATCCCCGACGATCGAGTTAGGATAGAGTAGATTGATTGTGTAGAGAAAAAAGCGAGGGACGAAGAACTTAACCTTTAACGAATCTCGGAAGTTTCCTTATATCCTTTGCTTATCATTTCTTTGTCCATTCCAGACTGTCGTGTTGGCCGAAAGTCTATATTCTAGCTCGCATCATTCATGGTGTGTCTGTGTCCTCCGACGTGAAGGAGTTGTCGCATTTAATGCTACGAGAGCCTCATTAATGGCTGATATGTGGGTGCAATAACTTTGCAGGATCTTTATCTGCTTACGTGGCTAGGCCTCTGCTTGACAAGTGTTTGAATATTATTGGTCCTGGCCTAGCATTGATTTCTTAGAGTTATTAGGCTTTAATCTCTGGGCAATGAACTGGGCCCTGATCTATGGGTTGGGCCCTCACGGGTGCCCATTAGTATCAGAATGAAATTGTTTATTTCTAATTTTCTTAGCTTGTATGATAGAAAAAGTAATCCCAATTTTTGTTGAATGGTGATTTATATATACATGAGTTGAATCAAACAAGAAAAATGAATGTAAAACTATAATGGGTATTCCACTCCAACCCATTCCATCATACATGATTTGAATCAAACAAGAAAAAGGGAATGTAAAGCTATAACGAGCATTCCACTCCAACCCATTCTATCATATAGCATACCAAATGTAAACGCAAATTAATTGCAATACATATTAACTGTTCCTCCATATAAAGATAAAGAGAATCAAATTCTGAATAAAAGGTGTAAAAATTTACAAATTTGAGACAAACCCAGTAGCCGCCAATAGGGTATTTATTAGAAAAAATTAAACAGGAAAACATGAATAAAATCCATCTACCTGTTTCGACAATCTTGGATTTTTTGGTCTTGTTCTTGTTTTTTTTCTTTAAGAGTGGTGCATTTGCTAATCCATCACTTGTTGTTATCTTCAAGCTTTTCTGCGAGTCCTCTGTTCCCATCTCTCTTTCTCTGTTTCTCTCTCTCTCTCTCTCTCTCTCTCTCTCTCTCTCTTATGATTGAGTGATACGATCAAGAATGCCTAAAGAGAAAGAGAGCGAGTAGATGAAATAGAGAGGTTTAAGCCTAGGACGCCATTTTAATCAGATTGGTTGGATTCATTGTCAAACAACTGATTGATGAGTCCACTCCAACCCGTATTAATATATGGGTGATTCTGGTTTTATTTTTGACCCGATAGGGCTTAGATATAGGAAAGAACTTCAAAATTATTTTTTAAAATAAAATTTAATTTGGTTTAGTGAAGTTCCCAATATTTAACTAGAACATTGGTCAATATTAGAATTGAAATAAAAAAATATATTCATTTTTATAAAAAAAAATACATTAAGGGGTTGTTTGGGGTGTTCTAAATAAGTGCACTTTTTATCTTTTTAGACTAAAAATTTGAGGAAGAAAATATGGATGTTTGGGTTAACTTTTTGACTTTTTATGAAAAAATGTGTAATAAAAAATTATAAAAATTGATTTGTAGGGGTAGGGAAAAATTTGAATTGGGAGTTGTGCAGCCGTAATTGTTGACTTTTGGTGAATAGTGTTAACTTTTTAACTTTTTGAGTAATTTTTTGACTTTTTGACTTTTTTACAATATGTCAAACTTGGCCTAAATTTAGCAAGACTGTCTTGTATTTTATTTTTATTTTCTTCTAACATTTTCAAGATACTTATTAATATCCTTTAACTAATATATTAGAAAATAATTGTAAGAGTTGCTTAGAATAGTAATAACTCAAGGCAAGTGAATTAAGCCATATTATGAGTTGCTTCAAACTCATTTTAAGTTGTATTAGATTTTGTTTTATCTTTGATTTATTATGAATTTCTAATACATGTATACAATAATGATACAGATCACTAAAACATCACCATTAACATCACCACTAATGATGTGGCAAGCCCAAAAAAAAAAAAAAATTAAGACACAAAATACATGTGACAGTGAGTCCCTAGTACAACCACTAATTAGTGGTTTGCATCATTTTTCTACATGTATAATGCACCAAGTATTGTTATAATAATGTATATAAATATGAGTCTTACTAATGACGGTCTTTAGGATTGTCGATAAACATCATAAAATGTTAAAATATTTATAATTTTAATGCATTTTAAAACACATTTGAATATTTTTTTTCAATACAAATAACAGCGTTAAATGCTGTTTTTAACATTTTCTTATAAATATTGTAGTAAGGGTCGGGTTGGGGCACTACCAAGTGTCAATTTGAACCGGGCCAACATGCCACAGCCCATGGACCCGACTTGTAATTATGTCTATACCAGCAAAAACCACCCAGATTTTTCAGTGGTTGATTTTAGGAATTAGGGTTTTAGCATCGGTGATTCTGGCTCGAATTTGACGAATCTACGTCCCTGTACACCATTGAATTACTCGAGATTTCCAGAGACAAAGAGTACTCTAAAACCAGGTAAAGATGATACAACACAGCACATGTGAGAAACCCTTCAAACCACATATAAATTTGAGTCATTTTGACTAGTGTTAGAACTGTTAATTCTTGATGGCTAGCTTAGTTTCTTCAAGCAATGAAATCCAATTTGTCAAAACTGTATGTGCAATTGTAGTGAAGGGACATTGGGACAATCTTTTGAAGCCCAAGATTGATTCTTGTCTCACCTCAACAACCATCAACCAGGTACTTCCATACCTCTCAGTACATGGGTCTTGTCTTTCTTGGTATTTTTTCAAATGGGTTGAATCAATCCCCAATTACAAGCATTCTTTACAGTCTTCTTGGACTATGATTCACATCCTCACTAAGCAAAAACAGTACAAAACTGCACAGAACATGCTTGAAAAAATTGCTTTAAAGGATTTTCTGTCGTCTCCCACGGTTTTGAATGCCGTCATGAGAAACCACGATGATCCGGATTCAAATTCGCAGGTTTTGAGCTGGTTGGTGATATTTTATGCTAATTCGAAGATGACCCAAGATGCGATTCAAGTATTTGAGCACATGAGAGTTAATGGGTTCAAACCTCATTTGCACGCTTGTACTGTGCTTTTGAATTCGTTGGTGAAGGATAGGTTGACCGATATGGTGTGGAAAATTTATAAGAAAATGATAAAAGTTGGGGTTGTTCCAAATGTACACATATTCAATGTGTTGATGCATGCTTGTTGCAAGTCTGGAGATGCTGAAAAGGCTGAACAGTTGTTGAGTGAGATGGAGCTTAAGTGTATTTATCCGGATCTTTTCACTTATAATACATTGATGTCTTTGTATTGCAAGAAGGGTATGCACTATCAAGCTTTGTCTATTCAAGATAGAATGGAACAAGGGGGAGTGTGTCCTGATATTGTAACATATAATTCACTTATTTATGGGCATTGTCGAGAAGGTCGAATGAGAGAGGCTTTAAGGCTTTTTAAGGAAGTTAAAGGTGCTGTTCCTAATCATGTGACATACACTACTCTGATTGATGGGTATTGCAGAGTGAATGATCTTGATGAAGCTTTACAATTGCGTAAGGAAATGGAGGCTAAAGGGTTATATCCTAGTGTTGTCACCTATAATTCAATTCTACGCAAATTGTGTGAAGAAGGAAGGATAAAGGATGCAAATAAACTCTTGAATGAGATGAATGAGAAGAAGATTGAACCCGACAATATAACGTGCAACACATTAATTAATGCTTACTGCAAGATAGGAGATTTGAAGTCTGCCTTGAGAGTAAGAAATAAGATGTTGGAGGCAGGATTGAAACCTGATCCGTTTACTTACAAGGCATTGATTCATGGGTTCTGCAAAGCACGGGAAATGGACAGTGCTAAAGAGTTGTTATTTGACATGCTTGATGCTGGATTTTCTCCGAGTTATTGCACATATTCGTGGCTTGTGGATGGATATTGTGACCAAGACAACGAAGAGGCAATCATAAGACTGCTGGATGAGTTTGTGAGAAAAGGTGTTTGCATCGACATCTCACTGTATAGGGCACTAATACGAAGGCTATGCAAGAGAGAGAAGGTTGATTGTGCTCAACGAATATTCACTCTTATGCAAGGAAATGGAATATTAGGAGATAGTGTTGTATTCACTAGTCTGGCATATGCTTACTTGAAATTGGGGAAGCCAACTGTTGCTTCGGATCTGTTAGATGAAATGTATAGGAGGAGGTTGATGATAACTCTCAAGCTCTACCGAAGTTTCAGTGCTTCTTATGCTGATGACAAGAGCATCTTAGATGTCTTTTGGGATCATGTGGTTGAAAGAGGCCTTATTTCGAAAAGTATTTTAATATATATCCAGCAGTTGAAATTACACTCTTAGAGGAAATTCGGTGAAATCACCAAAGCAATGGGATAAAGTTAATCACACTTGATGGGGGGTTGCCCTTCAGCCTTTTATTCAGGTTGTTCTATTGAATGCATGAATATTTCCAGCCATGCGATGATGAAACACTTGTCACGAGAGCATGATTTTTTTTTTTCTTTTGAAAGGGGGTGAGGCGTTCAATCAAAACACTCTGACTGTATAATATTTTAGGCTAGTGTGGGTGATAATGAAGAATTTGCTCCCAGTGTAACACCTTGATTGATCTCTTTCTCCTCTGTATTCAATGTTTTGGAGTTGAATTGTGGCAGTTGGTGCCCAAAATTGCTCTGGATATAAAATTTTCTCTCAAAGATTTGATGAAGAAAAGGGCAATTGAGTTCTTAAATTATTCATTGCATTGCATTTTAATGGTGATAGTTTTTTTTCCTCTCGATATGCTTGGGCCTGTGATCTGTAATTTGCAAAGAAGGTATATATTTACCAGTCCATCCTTATAATCAATTATTGTATCTGGGGATAATAACTTCATCTACTGAGCAAGTTCTTGTCTCTTAGATGCTGCTTTTAATTTCATTATGTGATTTGTTTACAGGGCATTCTGGCTTTTATGATGTGTTTTTTGCGTTTTCTATCGGTGTTGAGGGAATAGAAGCTTTGAGCTGAGCTGCCACAGAGGAAAAAAAGTAATGGCAAAGACTATGAAAAGCAAAAGCGGAAGCATTTTAGTTACATATGTTCATTGCAAAACTTAGGTTTTTGATGCAGGAATTTAATACATATGATGGAAAATTGTACAATAAAAGTAGCTGCTGGCTGTTGGATTTCTTTCAATGCAATTTAACAAGTGTCTGTTTCCTTTATTCAATTGCTTATTCATGCATGATATTTCAGGAGTTTCACAAATTTTACTGTAGCATGTTATCAGAGAAATAGGTGTTGGGAAATAAGAAAGATTTGCTAACAGCCTTAGAAAGTGAGGAGGGGCACATTGGCCCTCCTATGCTAAAATGTACACTTTCTTATCCTCATTTTTGAGAGATTGTTTTTGTAAATTGAACTCATATCACCAAAAACGCTAATGGCAAGTCTAATTGTTGGGCCAAATCATCATTTCAAATTTGAGCTTTAATATGAGCCCTAATTATAACAAAATGCAGTTGTAATGAACAAATTATTCTATCTATTCAAAAGAGGAATATATAATGCTTTTCAAAATAAACTAATTATTTTAATCTCTCAACGTTGTGTTTGAATTTTATATTTGAGTAAGAATTTGTCAAGAGAAAGGAAAAATCGCTGATTTAACTTATATTTTTGTTACTTTTTTCTTTCGATTTCATTTTTTTCTACAAATCCCTATTCAAATCCATGATTTAAACACCGTCTAATGTCAAAATAATCTCTCTATATATATTATATGCTTGTATGTGTATATACAAGTGTGCCAATAGACAAGCACAACTTGTTTTTTTTAATATGCTTTATTTGTTATGCCATATAATGAACCAAATATGCTCTGAATACCTATAAATCTTTCCTATGTATTTCAACAAAAATCAGCTTAAGTAGAATCTTCCAACCATTCGTGTTTAATTAAATATATCAGTGGTTCAATCTAGGCAAAACTCTCCCTTCCCATGGCTACAACTTCCAATGTCGTTATATATCATAAGCCATAAACAAGAACCTTTTCTTGTTATATATCATAAGCCATAAACAAGAACCTCTTCTTTAAACAGAACTCTTCAAATCTCCTCTAAAATCTCAACCACCTTTGAATAGAATAACTGATGATAGTGAATAATGGATCTCCACAACATCTCCCTCCCTTGTCCAATGACAAAAACCCAAATTTCAGCAGAAGGTAACACCTGTCCAATTGCCTTCCACATGGTTAGTACACATGTCAAGCAATGGATTGCTTTAAAAAACTATAAATTTGAGCAACTCTGAGATCTCCACAACTCAGAGTTTTGAGCAATAGTTGCATATATTATCTGTTATACCAAGAACCAAGAAGTTTGAAAAAAATGGACAGTTCACAGAACATGAGTTATCAAGCTGGCCAGACCAAGGGCCAAGCCCAGGTGAGCTTAATTGGCTTTCCCTATCTTCTTTATTTTCCAATTATGTACTTCTCAACATCCATGGCACATATTAATTGATGCACATAATTAACTAGTTAGTTCAGTTAGTCAGAACTCTTTCACCTCGTTAGGAGATTAAGAGCACAAAAAAAGAAGAAAAAGAAAAAAAGAAGACTGATGTGCAGATGTTTGTTATATTTGTTTCAGCAAAAGGGCAACCAGATGATGGACAAGGCCAGCAATGCTGCCCAATCTGCCAAGGAAAGCATGCAAGAGGTTCATGATCTTTTATTTTATTCTTTTAAATGGATTTTCATGTTGATCTGTTTGTTTATAATTATTCTCAGTTTCTAAACCTTTTTCCTAACAAAAACTCTGATATTTTTGCATCATATATGACACAAAGTGATATTTTATGTTTCAAAAAAGACACACAAATAAATAAATAAATAAATAATTCCACAGATAAGTGCACTACATTCATTCTGGATGGATCTCACATTTCACTAGGATGAATGCAGTTGCCATTGCATTCTGTGTAATTTTTTGAAAATAAAGTAAATTATGTTTTGATGTAAGAATGCAAGTAATGCTTGGTTATGATGTTCTTGATTAGGCTGGTCAGCAAATGAAGGCTAAAGCACAGGATGCAGCTGATGCAGTTAAGAATGCAACTGGCACGAACAAATGAATGCTTCAGGGATGATAGATTCATCTCTTAGATGTTTTTATTTTTGTTTTTTGTTTTCATTTGCAGTTTATGCATATGCTCCTCTTGTGGAGCTGCGGGTTGTTTGGTTTGTCTTATGAACCAACACCAGAGCTCTCTCTTTGAGTTCTTCCTTCATAAATTAATTTCTTAAGAAGTCAATGTTTGCTGTTTTGAGAATTTTTTTGTGCTTCATTTTTCTTTTCACTTGAAGTTCTTATAATGATGCATCGACAATGAATCAATATTGTTCAATTGTCAATGTTGAGATATAAGATCATTAATAGCAAATTTAATTCTAATTAGTCTTCTAAAATTAAAATTCCGATTCTGTACAAGTAGCTTCAGCAGTACAATTTAACTACAATAATTCATATTTACGCTCCATTTACTTCAGCAGAAAACATGGAAAACGTTTTTCTCCCCAGAAAATGTTTTCATTTCTTAAAATAGGATGCAATATGGTTCCTTTACCTTTATTACATTTGAGGATGACATTGTGAATATGATTCCAGTACTCGATTGGCACCATTTCAATATTAATGTCAGTTTCTGTATATGATTTCAAAAGTTATGATAATAAAACCATTTCAAACTAAACCATTTTATCAGAGGACTGAACAGGTTCATCATCAATACATACATTAGAAGCTGATCAATTGTTAAAGAATCAATTAAACAACTTTTTGAGACCTTTAAGACCATAAATTAGCTATAATAATCTTTCAAAATTCACAAGAATGTATGTTATTAATGTTGAATCTCATTCACATTCATTGTATTGTTAGGATGCATACATAAATAATGTTGTTTTAGCCTCCTCACAAATATATTCAACACAAAACTCATCCTTGCACTAGCTTTTTGCATTGTTTTCTTCGCTGCAAGTGAGAGAAAATTCAAATATGGATTGTCACCTATTCTTGTACTTGAGCTAAGCTTTATCGACATTGTGCACAGAAGCTTATCTTCATAAAATTCACTAAATACATAAAGCTACAGTTTTCAATTACTTACACCGGATGATTTCAATACAATGAAAAAATGATTTTTTTTTTAAAAGCATTACATTTCCGAAAAAGAAATATACAATAAAGTTCAATACAAAGTCTTTATGGACAACATGGCCTAAACCAGGCCAAAGAAAATAAAAGGAAAACAAAAACAAAAACCTTTAAAGTAAAACTCTCACAACCTAAGTCATATAAAATAATTATCCTCTTGTGACCCGAGAGGATAGGTAAAACGACGTCGTTTTGTTGTTGTTGTTGTTTTCTTTTTAATTAAAACACTCACCATTGTTCTCATATGTATGAACTTTTTATTTGTAAATTACTTTCTAATTATACATTAACAAAGAAAATTTTTAAATTAAAAAAAAAATTAAAATTCAATGTTAGGAGATTAACAATACTAGCAAGGAAATTTGTACACCAAAAAAGTATTTTAACAAGTGTTTTGAACATAAATTGTATAATATGTATATTCAAACTTAAATGTGATGTGGGTCACACTCAAAATAAATTTGGTTCACATATTTTATTTTTAGAATATTTTTTCAAGTAAATAGTATTATTATACTAGTAGAAGATAATGACGAGAATTATAAAATGGTGCATTTTAGTCACACATCATATCACTTAGTAAATTAATTCTCTTTTAACATGGCACCTGAAAAACCCTTATAGGAAAATCACCAATAAACAAAAAACAATACCTCAACACTCATTCTCAAGGAATCATACCAAAAAGAAAGACTAACTTTTATAACTTGTTTAATTCACTTCCATCCAAACTAGATTGACATCCTTATAAACAATCAAAAGCACATCTTAAAAAAGAAATTGCAAAGCTAAAAGATGTAGTTCTCAAATGGTCAGCAAATGTTGATAATTTCTAGCCCCAGGAAAAAAAACAAAAAAACAAAAAAATATTAAAAAAAAAGGACAAAAAACCTTAATAATGTCTTCAAAAGATGTCCAACATTCATTTTTATAAAACATATGGTTGTCCAGTTGTCCTAGTTGCATAATAAGATACCTACCATCATCATCTACACAAACAAGAATTATATGTATATAGAAAAGATATTAGTGAAGTACTCAAAACAATTAAATAATTTCTCATGAAAATGTAATATTGACAATGAATTTAGATAATAATTTTTAAATTGTGTCAATTAAGAATAAGAAATAAACTTGCCATTAAGTCATCAATCCAACCAAAAGCAATCGATTGTAGTAGACATTGTGTTTAGGTTGACCACATCCATGTTGCTTTGATCATCATTTAGGTTAGCCACATGATTTGGATTAACCTCTCTTCCCTCTGTTTTGGCTTGGCATGTTTGACTATTATGACCTACACCTTTACAAGTGCTACACTTCCTTGTTGCTTCATCAAACTCAAATTTTGAAGCATTCCATCTTGTGAAACTAGATTCTTTCCCTTTTTTGGTCCCCGATGGACGTCCTCTATGAGGTTGAACATTTGGCTCAAGAAGCAATGGAAGTGATGGATTTACAAGTTGAGAAATTCTCTCCTAAGCATCTTCCTTCTGAATTATAGGCCACTCTTGATGTTTATCTTCTAACTCATGAATTGGCCTTCGGAATTCACCCCTATCATTTTTTTCATGGCAAAGTCAAGGATCTTATATCAATCCTCTGTTGTGAATGCACTGCATCAAGAGATAATGCCTTACCTTTCCAATTCATCATCTTACGTGCACAAGGAAGACCTATACTTGCCATAAATGTCCTGTGCATGTTGGTTGCATTGTACCGTTTGTTACCATCTGTATTTAAGTAGCTCTCCCATGGCAAATGCTGACACATTAGTGATAAGGTCCTTAAAGAAATGAGTATTGCATTTCTGAGGTATCCGAATCTTTTCACTTGAGAGTTGTGCCTTTATCTCTTTATATTCATTTTCAATTGCAAGGCATATCTTGTTTTTCACTTGATGAAGATCACTAGTTGAAACTTGTAAATATTTCTTAAGTTTTCCATGCACACCTTCAGCCCTTGAAGAAACCCGATTTCCAAAATGAGCAAACTTTTCAGTCCATGCATTCACAAACCGTTCTTTAAATGGAAGCCACGTCTTTTGAATATAATATAAAAATTCTTTATTCTCTTTGTACAATAGCTCAAAAAACTTCCAAGCTTCCTCGTATGTTGCTTCATCTTGAAAGTTTATTACTTGTCTCCAAGTACACAAAAATGTGCTCCAATCTTCTTGAGCTTCAAACTAAGACTTGCAATTCACCAAAATATTTTTCTCAATGTGCTACACACATAAAAGATTCTTAGTTGTTGGAAAGACAACTTGTATAGCATTCATTAATGCTAATTCCCTATCAGCTACAATGAGAGAACGATAACCAATGAGACCCAATATCTTACTAAACTTTTGTAAAGCCCAAACATGATCTTCTTCTCCCTCTTTATCCAAAAAAGCAAAACAAGAGTAAAATGAAGTGTTAAAACTTGAAACACCAATTATGTCAAGAAGTAGCATCTTGTATTTGTTAGTCTTATAAATAATTCATCACAAAAACATTCAAGTAACTCCTCGTTAACATGATTGAAGAAGGGTGTGCAAAAAATAGACGTGTCAAATCACCATCTTAATTATGTGCAACATTAAAAGTAAAATCACATTGACGAAATTCTTCAAACAATGCTTGTATCATAGTTTGCCCTGCCAAGTTATCCTCGTGAAGTTTAGCCTTCATATTGTATATAGTCCTTGATACCGCTTGAAGCTTCGGATTCCTTTGTCTAAGTGAAGAAAGAATTTGGCGCGGTAGTATCCTCGATCTAGTCATTTCTTCAATACTCAAGACGACTTGTTTCGATAAACGATGACAAAAAGGATGTCCGGACATGTCAATAGAAGGCTCATGATTATGTGAGCTATTTTTTTACTTCAAGCACCCAAAACACATCACTTTGTCTCTTACTTTGAATTTCAAAGGGACAATTAATAAGGTGAGTAGCTGTTTGCCTTTGTCTATGCTCCATAGGAACATGCCACTTATTTTGGTAACAACCACCTCTATCACAACCAAAGGCGACATATCTATCTTTTTTGGAGTTTTTTTATAGATATTGCATACCCTTGCATTGAGAAAAGTTCTAGGGCGGTATCAAGGAGCTCTTCATGAAATTGAAATTTCCAACCAATATTTCCAAGTATCTCATTTTGCCCATTTTCTTCCCTTGACTTCGTATGTTTATTCCATCTTGTTCAATTTGATCACTTAACCTTACATTGACACATTCAATGGATTGTTCAATATTCATGATTCTTCTTTACAATATCTAAATTATAAAGAAATACATAACCAATTGTCACATATTCATGTTATAAAATTGATTAAAAATAATTCTATAAATAAATAATTAAAAATCAACTATTTACGATATGTTTGGTTTATTATAATGAAATGAAAAAGATAATGATCATCAATATTCATTCCTACATTCGGTTAACTAAAAAAAAAATAGAAAATACATTATACAAATGGAATCATCATTCACTATTGAAAGGGAATAGTCACTTTATAAGGATGCTAAAGAATGATAATTCTATTTCAATCCACCTTCCTTTCATTGAACCAAACACTACCTTAGAGTAAAAATGTAAGATCAAATTAATGTTTTTTTTATTTTTATTTTAAATTTCATTTTACTGTTAATCATCTCATGAACCCAAAAAAAATTTATAAATCATGTAAGCCTAAAAATTATATAGTTCATTCGTATATCTTCATAGAAAATTCTAAAACTCACATAAAAAAAATAATAATAAAAAACTAAATCAATTCTAAATATTTAATTATAAATATATAGTAGAGTATATATACTTGAGAGGTGAGAGAGAGACCAATTTTCTTGAGTATTGTCACGTCAAATTGAGATGAAACGAAAGGTGAATGACTGATAGAAATTCTGAATAATTGGGCAAACAAAAAGTCACACCAAGGGGTAGTTTAAAAAAACAGCTCCGATTTGTAGCTCGAATAGAGCCCCCCCCAAATCCCCCGAATTTGGAAAAGGTGAATTTTGAATATTTGGCTCAGTTGCAACAACATTGGAGAGGAGAGGAACCACGCGCGAGAAATGGAAGAAGAAAAGAGAGGAGAGGAGAGGAACCAGTTGAAGAAGAATAGGAGAGAGCGACCACCGCCGAGGTTGACCGGTGCTGACACTACCAACCTGGGTGACCATCGACGACC